CTAAAATTGGGTTATAGCTTTCCTGTGAAAGCTATAAATTAGTTTCATAATAGGGTTGAGTACATTGAATACTTTTTCTTCCATTCTTGAGATACTTTGCTAAGAAGAATATTCTCCGGTTTTATTTCTAGTTGCAAAAGGCCTTTTTCAAGCAAAGTCAGTTTGATTCTGATAAAATCTGGAAGCTCTGCTTACAGAGTTTAATAAAACCTGATATACAATTCTGAATTCTTTAGCTCTCCATTCTGTCCTGCATATCACTGTGGCTATTATAGTTCCTTATTACCTCTTCTATGTATATGAAACCTCTTCTGTATACACGAAGGAGGTAAGAAAGGCTAAATGCATTAGGTTAACCAATACTTAACCTTGAATTGTTTCCCAAACCGTGGAGGAAGACGAGGGTATTTTTTGCTTTGCTTATGCAAATTATCTTTTAACAAAGGTCCAGACTTCTTTATTCTGTAGCAGAATGCTAATTTTTCAACTTAATATTAAAATCATTATCCTTTTCCTCATTGCAGACCCGACGTCTTGCAGATTTTCAGTTTGCATATTAAAATTGGAATTTTAACTTTTCAGTTAAACTCATACCTAGCCGTCTTTATGAGAGGCCAAGGTTAAAACCTAACCAAGTATGTTTACTTGATGTATCTCATTTTCCGCTCCTTGTTGAGCTTCCTTTCTGAAAGAATACAGATAACCTGGGGTTTTTACTTTAGTCTATTCCCTTTCCCCCTACCTGTCAATAAGATCTCAAAACTACAAGTGTCTATCTAGCTTTTTTGTTTGGATTCATGTATTTTTCAAAATCTTTCCTTAAAAGTTACATTGCTGACGTTAGCCTTTATATTTTTGGTTGGGTTTTTCTATTCAGTTTAATGGGATACTATATTTAGCAATGCCTTTTAAACTTTGCATCGAAACTTTGAATGCTTAAAGCACAATGTGTACCTAAAATCTCTTCGTGTCTACAGATGGTGGCAGCAGAGTCAAAGGAGAACACTTCCCCTATGAGCAAGAAATCAAGTTCTTTGCCAAAGTACAGTATACGATCCATGTTGTTTTTGCTTCAATATGTTTGCTTACAAAATATACTTGTTAGATTGTTGCCTTGTTTCCAGTTGAACTTGTCCAGATAAATGTGAATTTTACTTGGAAGTAAATAAACCGTGGCATGAAAATAACTGCATGAATCATGCTCCCAGCACTTGGTCACACTCCAGCTGGCTCTGCTTTCTACGGTGGCTCTCAAATGACTTCATTCGAGCAGAGGTCTAATTCGAACTTCTAACTTTTGGACTTTACTATATGAAGAAAAGTATCTATTTCTTAACATTTGAACATTGTTCTGACTTTAAATTTTTAGACGAGTATTTCATTTATAGTGGAAAAAAAGTATTAGTTCATTGATAAATGGATACATTGCAGGAACCTGTAGTATAGAATCTTTATCGTGGGACCTTAGTCCTACTGATTTTATAGAGGTTCAGAGAGGATAAATTGTTCATATACAAAGTATATCTGATTGCTGTTATCCATTCAATTTCATAAGGATTTACCGAGAACTTGCTATGTTACTAGACAATTCATCACCTCCTTTCAGCTACAAAGGGAAGGAGATGAAGATTTGCGAAGTTTCCATATTGATTTAATTCACTTTCTCAGTATTTATGATGTGCCTTGTCTGTGTCAGGCCTGCGATTATGGCCTGGGGATTGTCATGAAGGCACAGTGTGCTTGGGAAAAGCTTTCCTGTTCATAACACTTGGTGGTTACCCTGCAAACTGAATTACTGCTACCCATTTCCTTTCAACGTCTTCCCATTCAGTGATTATTATAGGAAATTTGCTATAAATGCGTCTTCGTATGGATTCTAAAAGAGCATGTTTTGTGATCGATAAATATTTAGTTACTAGTATATTTTCAGAATTACGTCCTTTAAAGGATATTTCTTTAGATTTTTCTTTCCACTCAGTATAGTACTCAGAGTCTGTTCCAATCGTGTGAAGATCTAGAGTTTGTCCTGGAGTACATACTGTTAGCGATAGCGAGAACCGTATCAATGTGCACCACCAGTGTCTACTGGACTGTAATCCCTCTTGGTCGCCAGTTACCAGAGTGCTGTGTTCATGACCATTAAAACAATACATTTTGATGTTCCCTGTGTATTCAGTACTCATAGAGACTTAGTTTACAGATGCTTGCTATGACTTAATTTCTACTAAATCTGTATTAATTCATTCACCATATTAATTGAGCACCTTCTCTGTGCTAATCAGTAAATTCAGGCAGTGTCACGACTTCCAAGGAAGATCAGTGAAAATCAGTGTATTCCTCCATTATATGTAATGGTGCTATGCCACGTGGCAGGGAAAAAAAAGTATATTTAGGTAGACTTGAGTTTGAATATTGGTAATGCCAATTATTTAGTGGTTTTTTTTTTTTTTTTTTTTTTTTTACTTATTCATCCAACACATTTATCTAGGGCTTGCACTGGGGATTACTGGTAAACAAAACAGACCAATTAGCAGTTCTAGAGGCCAGGAAAGGATTTAAGGAGGGACAAACCCATAAGTATTTCTTGCTTTTACGTACTTATAGGCTTCTAGAGAGAGGGAGTCTTTGACCAAAATCACACACAGCAAACATAACATTCTAAATGGTGCTATAGATAATAGCAGGGAATATGGGATTTTATTTAGTTGAGGTGATAAGCAAAGACTTATCTGATGAAGTCGCACTGAGCTGAGGTCTTGGGAGGAGTGAAGGAATGGATTGTGGGGTGTGGAGGAATCTTCAGAACGAGGGGACGGCCATGTGGCATGAGCAGACAGAGTAAGGAGTGGGGCCAGTGGGATTAAATCTGCACACAATGGCAGGTGGTGGGCTGTGAGAAAGGCCAGGTCCAAAGAGCACTGTATAGGCAAGTAAGTTGCAGCGTGATTTGGGGTAAGTCACAGTCTGTACCTCCAATTAATCCTGGAAAGCAGAGGTGATGACATCAACCCTGCAGAGCAGTTACTGTAAATGACATGACACTGTGTCAGCTGCAGTCCTCACACATCATAGAGGGTAATCATGGCTTTTTGACCCTCTTGGGCACTGAACTATATGAAAAATATTGGAAATGGTGTCTTTTGAGGAAATGAAATGTCTATATGAAAGTATTGGAAATGGTGTCTTTTGAGAAAATACTGAGAATAATTCCAAATTGTGAAATTTGCTCTGTTCCCCATAATCACATCCCACCACAGTCCCCTCTGACTCACACAGACTGGAGACAGTAGATTAGGTATATGGGAGGTGGGCTCTGACGGGTGCTCCCTGGCGGGGACATCAGGAACCTAGTGCATGTGTCAGAACTGCGACTGCCCCAACACCTCAGCTCTCATTCATCCTCTGAAACGTTCCACTATGTAGATCTGTTTTCTTTTTCTTTCTTTCAGGTGGTTCTTCCTTTAATTGATCAGTATTTCAAAAACCATCGGTTATACTTCTTATCTGCAGCAAGCAGACCTCTCTGCTCCGGAGGACACGCATCGAACAAAGAGAAAGAAATGGTGACTAGGTAAACAGCCGCGAAACTCAAGTCTGTTGTTTGATGTAAGAGGATATGCGTTTGCAAAAAGAAGCCGAGGACCTTGATCCTGGGACGTGTGGAGAGTATCCTCCTATCTTCCCTGGTCTCGGTCCTTCTGGAATCAAATACTCAAGGAGGGGGAGAAGGGGGTTTCTGCAAGGGAGACACATATTCTAGATCCTGAGTTTCCTTCTGTCTTGCTGCTAAACGTAATCCTGAGTAGCAGGAATAACATATCCAATACTGAATGGGCAAGCAGAGAACAGAGAATGTATCACTGTATTAGCATTGGTGACGAATGGTGCTTTTAACAATTGTTTCTTTAACATTTCTACAAATCTAATATTTTGCCAACCTTCCTTTTCAGGAAGGTGAAATTCCATTTACACCAATGTAATTTAAAAAATGATGACCAATCTTGGCAGAAAATGATGCAAAACTCCATGCTTTCTGAATGTTTCCCCTCGTGCCACTCAAGTCAGCATCGTAGCAATGTCTTCTTTCTTTTGAAGCTCGAGTATTCTTTGTAGATTCATTGGTCTTTGTGCTGGGAATTTCAGGTCTTTTTCCTCGAAATTCTGCTAGAACGTCATATACGTGAGAATCAATTACTGAGCAAATCTGCCCCTGTATTATTACATTGCTCAAAAGTCCCTACCAAGATTTTAGATTGTATCTGAACAAAATTTCTATAGAGATGAGTAACCGGTATAAGACAACACTGGGACTTTCCTTGGATTTGACTTCCATGCTCAATGATAGTGTAGCGATATTATCAACATATTGGACAGAGTCAGCTTACACTGAATACAGCCTGTCACCAGAGGGCGGAGAAGAAATAGGATTTCTGAATCGCGAAACATTGGGAATGCTATTAAAATGGAATTTTCAGGTCATGACTTTAATGTATTGTCTGTTTTCCCACGTGGTAAGTGGACAGTCACATGATAGAGGATTACAACAATAGCATAAAAAAATTTCCTCAGTCCTTGCCACAT